GGCTGTGTATCAGAATTATCTGTGGAGCCAGGACAGGAACACTTTAGGAATCAGAACCTTTGGGAGTAACTCTTAGGCATGTATATATTCCATGTTATCCACAAGGGATTTTGATGGGCAACTGGGATTGAGAACTACTACTATGGACTTGGTTCCTATGTATGGAAGATGAGAAGGGGCATGGAAGGTAGTAATTATCATAAGTGATGGTTAGTTGGCCTGGTTCTGGAAAATGGGGAGAGAGAAAATTTTATAACTCTAAAGCATAGAAAAGTGGAAAGAACAAAAAGAAGGAGAAGAGGAAAGGAAGAAGAAGAAGAAGAAAGGAAGAAGAAGAAAGGAAGAAGTAGAAAGGAAGAAGAAGAAGAAAGAAGAAGAAGAAAGGAAGAAGAAGAAAGGAAGAAGAAGTAGAAAGGAAGAAGAAGAAGAAAGAAGAAGAAGAAAGGAAGAAGAAGAAGAAAGAGCTTTTTATGAAAAAGCTAGTAATGATTTGTCATCCTGACAAAACCAGTCAGACATTGACATAGATAGGGGTTATATCATGTCTTTTCTGGAACATAGTCCATACATATGGACTATGGAAAATTATATATACAGATATCTATCTATCTATATATATCTTCAAACCCACCTTATATGCTGCCTGTCTGCCTTTGGGAGAGCCTCCAAAAACTTTCAATTGCAAATGAGATGTACCACTTTATGGTCTGTAAACAAGGAATTTTATTTGAAATATGTAAATTTAGAAAGTGCTAGGTATCATAGAACACAGTGTTTCTTGTTACTACAATAAAAAGAACATTTATATCATCTGCCAATTTGATTACTAGATACAATAGAATAACTGCATATCTTCACCTCGGTATTATTACAATGAGCACAAATTATCCTATAAGTAAATACGAATTAATTTCCAACTTTTAGATGCTTTAAAAAAGCCATTATTAAGTAATGGTAGAATTCTAATACTACTTTATTCAAGTTATTTCAAAGAAATGTACAATTATTGAATAAATAGCTATTTAAATTATGAGAAAAATGTCTAGAATGGGGAATTACTAGAAAATAAACTTTACATTAAAAGGCTTCAAACTTATGATGGATTCAGGCCCCTAGTATAGGAGAAAATAACTAAAATAAGTACACACTAATCTTTAGAAGTAGACAAAATAAGCAACTACTGAGTGGTGTGATTTCAAGATCACTTGAAGGGACCCCCAAACTCTTACCTGAAGACTATAATGGTAAAGAATTTTTAGAAACTTGTTTGTCTGAAGATTCTCTGGGGAAAATGATGGTATGCTATAGTGCTGACATTGTTGATATCATCTGCCAATGTGATTACTTAGGTAAAATGGGGTAACTACACATTTTATTTTTACAAGGTGTGAATGGAAAAAAATACCAAACACAACAACAAAGCTCATGGTCCTTCCTGTCACTGCTATGTCTCCTCCCAGTCTGCTCTGCTTCTGCTCCCTCACTTCTAATAACAGTCTGCCAGGCTCTGCTCACACTCTTCTTTCCATTCCTCTTGTTCTTTAATTTGTAGGCTGACAATCGGCACCCCTCTTTTATAAATTTCCAGAGGAAATTACATATGTGATTTTGGGGGCCACATTTCCTCTGCTCCCTCTTGCCTCCCCCTTGGTTTCATGTGTGGAGGCTGTTTTCCTGATATCAGCTCATCTTTGCTCACTGCCAGCTATGCCCTGGCCTGATGATGCTTAGCTTTATCAGAAAGGGAAACTCAGAATTATAGTCCTTGAAAAGGGAGAGAGACAGAAAACCTAGAACTGCTAGAATTTCAAAAGAGAGAGGTGTTGGTTTTGGTTTTGAACCTAATAGGGGCTTGAGGGCTGGGTGGGTCAAAAAGGCATATTTAATAATCTGAAACTATAACATGCTGACATTAAAAGGATAGTGTGCCCAAATTCTAAATGGCAGAAAAAGGAAATGTGGAATGGATGTGAGAAGGAGCCATGGAAAGGCTTTATATAAGAAGAAATGAGCCCTGACTGGTGTGCCTCAGTGAACTGAGTACTGGCCTGTGAACCAAAGAGTTGCTGGTTTGATTCCCAGTCAGGGCACATGCCTGGGTTGTGGGCCAGGTCCCCAGTAGGGGATGTATGAGAGGCAACCACACATTGGTGTTTCTCTCCCTCCCTTTCTCTCTCTAAAATAAATAAATACAATCTTTTTAGAAAGATTTTAAAAAAAGGAAAAATGAGAAATACTTATAGAAATGGATAGTAGAACAGTTAAACTAATGGTGAGTGATTTAATTGCATTTAGAAAGCTTTTATTTTCTTTTTATCTCCAACTTTCACTGACATTATTTCAAGTGTTCTTTCCACTGTGCTTCACTTACTCAGAGGTCTAGGGGAGAGCACTTGGTTGGTCATGTTTAGTTGGCCATGGCTACTTCTTGGCTTTGTCTCAGGTAGGAGAAGGAGGTTCTGCTAACCCTTCCTGACTTCTGTAGTCAGAGACAGGAATC